CAGAGGGCTCTGTCAAGAGACAGCTGTTCCCGCAGCAGGGCAGCAAGCAGCCACGGAAGGAGGGGGACTGTCATGCCACTGTCCACCCCGGCCAATCACTTTCGCCCCAGCCTGCAGACCATAAATCGTAAAATATTCGGAAATGTTATATACGACACCGGTGTCGTACTTCCTTATATACGACACCTACCATTTCTTGGCCCACAGGGCTCCAATCGGCGTACAACAATATGCGCTGTGTAGCCACGGCCCGCAGCTATCAGCCCATACCATTTTGGGTCAAATCGGCAAAGTGGTTGAAGAGATATCTTAGAAAAAGGGGGCTCAGCAGCATCGCAGGGTTAGGTNTAAATAAATAAATAGTGGAACGTGCGCACCACCAGCCTGGGGGGTAGCCTTCCGGAAGGACCCCAAGGGTCAACAGTACGTGCCAGTAAAAAAACAAAACAAAAACGAAATAAACCAAAGACAGACGAGGACATAAACAAACTCTAGCCTGCAGACCTTAAAATGGAAAATATTCGCCTGCAGGAAGTTTCTTGGAAACTTTCTTGACTCAAAATCTGTTTCCTTATTTCAGTAAATTTGGAGCCCCAGTCCGAAACTTTGTACTGTTTCCTTTCATTTTCTTCTCTTTTTCTCTTTTTCGCTCTTTTTTTGTGCCAGATGGCCTTGTCTCTGCTTGCGTTGTGAAGTAGTACCAAGATTGAACCAAGGGGGTGTACATGTACCTGCATCGTGGAAGACCCCTTCAATGTGGAACGATTCCTAGTCAGTCACGGGTTTTCCCACAGAAACCCGTTCGAAAAACCCGTTTAGCCTGCTTCCCGTGAAAAAAGTGACGGTAAAAAAACACCTGGTGGACGGGCGGCTCGACTTGTGCCTGTTGAGAAGAACCAACGGTTTCTCAATGACGGTGCCTTTGAACCACTCCATGATGTCGACTCGTCTACGCCACTCAATGGAGATAAAGGGTCGTTTTCTGGCGCGTTCTCGCCTCGCCCACGCTGCAGACGCGGGGATGAACGAGTGGGAGGCGACATGCTCGAACCCCTCGACAAACGTGACGAGGCTACACTGCTGACTTCCTGCGTACCTCCTCCACGTGCACGCGAGGTAGGGACCACGTCTACGACCAAGCTGGAGCTGCTGCCGGAGTCGCTCTCCTCTCCGGTCGCACTGCTGTCCATGCAACCACTCAGGGACGCCCCCTCCTCCTTCTCCTCCTACCCACTCACAGACGGCCAGGCTCTTGCCGCCTGGGGTCCTGCCGCCTCGCGCTGAGTCGCGATCCTCTCTCCTCTTCCAGATGCCCTCCTACATCGATCAAACATGATCCAGTTCAAAATAAAACGCGAGCTGCTCTTCCGCCGCACGCGGGCACCAAGAACCTTCTCGCGCGCCCGAATACCGACCCAACAACTGCACACACGTTGCTGTGGAAGAAACCCCAGTCTCCGCTGCTCAGCCTTCTGCGCAGGGAGCACTTGATTGCGTGTGCTCGTACGTGCCGCTTCGTCCCGTCCTCGACGGAAAAAGTTGCCGGCGTATTTCTTCCGGGCAAAAAAAACTGAAAATCCTCAAAAAATAACACGGTGGATTTTTGCGTCGGGACCCGGCCCAGACGGAAAAAAATCGCCCAACCGGCGAAAATCGGCCCAAACGGAAAAAAATTGGCGGACGGGGAAACCCGGGAGTGTCGATGTTTACGCTGCTGTGCCTAACACAGATGGTCTGGATAGATCCGGGTGATTGTCAATTGCATTGATGGCTTTGGTTGAGTTTATTTCTTCACTGTATGTCCACGGACTCATTCTGGCAGCACTTCAGACAGCAGCTGCATGCCCCGAGCTTGTGTACCATGCACCATGGTGTTATTATTGTACAGACAGCAGTACGCTGTAGTCGACAAACATTCATTTTGGTTACATGCGGGACAAGGGGGGTGATGCTGCTGCTGTAGTCGATTTGTAGTGTGTGGGCGTGTAGTTCAGTTAGTTGTGAGCATGCAAACGTGCTGCAGGGATTGCAGGTGTACCTCCTCGGGCTTGCGTACCCTTTCCTTGCTAATGGTGTGTGTGTGTTCTTTGGATCTTCTGATGGCTCTAGCATTTTTTTGACCACGGACCGAGTCTTTGCTAGGTTTTGGGACTAGCAACTGACACGAGTTTAATGTGAACAAAAACAACAACAACAACAACAACAACAACAACCTCAATTTGTNGTTGATTTCTATTGACTTGCGGACCCCTCGGGGCCAGTATATTTGAGTGCACCTTTTTGGGTAAGTTAGTGTGAAGGAGTGTTGCTGTATGGCACAGATAGGGTACACAGTCGGTCTAGATTAAGATGGGGGACGTCAGGAGGTAT